GACCACTTGCAGTCAGTTGCTATCTTTAAAGTGAGTTTGGTGAATCAAGACTGTAATGAACCCGCAATAGTACGAAGTCAGTCTGCTATCAGTTTGTGATTGAATGAGGTCAAGTTAGCAATTACATGCAGCCCGTTTGTGATAATCTTGCCCTTAAGTGTGATTAAATAGCCATCAACATTCACATAAATGGACATTAACTACTTATATTCAGTGTCTATCCACAACCTCATAGCTCTGAAACAGAAATTTAGATATCTAATTGAAAATGATTGCCTGGAGGCAGGTTGCCTCCAACCCAGACACCTGCCTTTCTGGGTGACCAGCTAGTCGGCACAACTTCTTTCAGTCCAGAAATTTCAATGCAATGTCAAAGCAACCACCAACTTTTCCTAGTCACAAGCAGGATGCCATCTAATTTTTACTCTAGCGTGACCGACCTGTTATCAAACTTCTTATCTCATTCAGGACAGTTCTGTTAGTTTTCTAAATGTGAATATGTTTGAGCTTAGTGCCCTGCAGTTGTCCCGTCAGCCCTTCTTTGTTTTTCTTCTCTTATATTTTTCCAATTTATCTCTTGATCACAACCAAGATTGTATATATGACTGAAGAAATTCTAACAGGAGCAATGCTGTCATATACATCATGCCACCATATGATACAGAAACCTAAGTGTAAAAACGCAGAATGAAAGTGTGTGCTAGCAGTTTGTGAGTAATCATATGTGGGTAGAGAATATCTTCCTCCATCATGGACGGCAGTCCTAAATTATTTCATATCCTGTCAGCAGGCAGTATGTACGGTATGCTGCAGTCATTCATCACAATCCAAGCTCATGCAGTGCGGCAAGACACTGACTGAAAACCAAGGCAATGTGAAGTTAACTGTGTTTACTTACTAATGATGTGCCAACTTATATTAAGTTAATGCAGTAACCTTGCCTGCCTGTACTAGATCAACACTCCTTCTGTCTGCGTTTATTGGAAAACAAGATTAAAGCTAGATAAGAGAAGTGAATCTCTTCATTGACTTTGATTTTTATTGGTGACTTTGAAACACTGAGATTCATAACTGCTTCAGTTTGACCAAATCTTTGAGCAGAGTATTTTTAAATCGTTCATAAATCTGTTTTTGAGACCAAAGAAAACTGTTAGTGTCTACTATTTGAAATGCCCACACCAAGAAGGATCAGTATTATCACTTCATCTATTCTTTTGCTTTGTTTTCGATACAATCAAAATCAAGTCTGTCATCCTTGCCGTACTTGTTTAAAAAGGCAGATGAAAATAAAAGTACTAATATTGAGATTGTGCACGCCTCCCGGCTCTGCCAAAAATTGTTTGTTTCTCCAGTTTCTCATCGTTATTTCGCTGCTGTCTGGAAACTTAATATTTTGTCACTGTTTGCTTTTCTGTCAGCTTAAAAAAATATTTCTTATGATTGGTTAGAAGGAAGGTTGTTAAAAGGACAACACATTCACTGTTTAAAAAAAATCATATAAGCACTTGGCCTTTTCTGATTTATTTAATGTAAATTAACAGTTGTTTTAGTTTTGAGCAGCCCCTCATTTATTCTTTATGTTTTTTAGCGCCATGAAAATTACTACAAGGGAATAAAATATATAAGGCAAAAGCAGAATTTGTACTATTCTAGCAAGCTTGAAAGTCAATATTTGATATGACCATCTCTATTCTTCAACTTCTTCAGCCTGAACTGTCTTAGGCAAGCTTTCTTGTCATTTATTTTAAGATGTCGTCAGGAGTAGTTCGCCAGGCTTCTTGAAAGACGTTCAGATCGCTTCTTTGGCTGTTCAAGGAGATCCGACACTTTAGTAATGTTAAGTTTTGTGCTCTGGGAAGGCCAATTGAAGACTGTTGGTGTCCTATTGTTTTTTTTTTTTTTATCCAGGTATGTATGTATTTTAAATTCATTGAATTAGTTTTTTGTTTTTTGTTTTTCTCCCAGATTCATTTAACTTAACTCAGTATTTTTTATAATTTCACAGGTCATTTTAATAACTAAAAAAACGTATCTTTTTTAAACTCTTTTTTTTACTAACTTTGAAATAAACCCACATGTTACACAGTGTGTGTGTGTGTGCGCGCGTCTGTGTGTGAGCGTGTCTGCCCGTTTTCTCTCTGAACCTTTCTGATATGCTGAGTATACACAATCTAAAGTGACTTACTTTGCACATAAACTAATTAAAGATAGATAAATAAATGTGTTATTGATTTCTGATATGAAAACTGCATAAGAGATGGAGGTTTTTTTTGTTTTTTTTTAAGGAGCACAGCACTCATATTTTAAAGAATTCTGACAAGGAACGTTTAGGGAGATGCAGCTTAATTTTCAGAAGAGACTATAAATTAAGATGACAAATATTACTGTTGTGTACATGAAGAGTTTGACATTTTGAAAAGTGGACTCATAGGCTTTACAAAGCTGCCAGCAGCAGCTGGGCAGCTTTACACAACACAAAGACCAGAAGCCGGGAGAAAGGCATGATCTGCCTAGCCCTATCAACACTTCTGAGCCTCTTAGCAATGAATTAATTCATTTATATTTTATGGCTCATTTGTTTAATCTTTAGTAAAGTAAAAAGCCTCAGACTAGGTGTTGAATTATTTGGGTTAGGTTTGAGCCAGTTGTCTGACAACCAGTAGAAGCTAAACAGAGTTGAATGTACATTCAAAATGTTCAAGTGGCAAAATATTTTTCATATGAGAATATAGTTTATGGCATGCGTTTCCCTTGGAAATGTGCGTTTCAAGATGATCTTCCTACATGCTACTTTGGGTAGTACTGCTCTGCCTGCTTGTTAAAGGTCAACATGGTAACAGCTGGCAGGTAGTTTTGATATTCTGAAGACATCTGGATTCTGACAAGTGTCCATTGTGTCAAGAGTTGTTCCCAGTGAGGAGAGGATGGTGAGTGTGTGTGTACACTCAAAGGATCTCTGAAGTGGAGAGGATCTCTTGTTATTTTAGTGGTGGGCAGAGATTGGCACCATGTTTGGGTTTGTGTCATTTTAAAATCACTTCCACTCTTCTTTCAAACCATTTCAGCAACAGATAAAAGAGGCACATGTTTTTCCTTTTATGGACACTGATGCTCCCATTTTAGATGCTTCCTAGATGACTCAACTCAGCACAGTCTTTTCTGGACCTTCTCTCTCTCTTCTTACCATCCTTAGCCAGGATACATTCTGGTCTTACATTTCTATGGTTACAGTGAAGAGTTGTGATTATTCCTCAGTGATGGAAGCCTTTCTAATAATATATTGGGGCACCGGAAACATCACATGTCAATCACTGTCCATACCTGGTCAGAGGGCCCGGTGGTGCCAGTGTCTGGCAGCCTCGCCTCTGTCAGTGCACCCCAGGGTGGCTGTGGCTACAATGTAGCTTGCCATCACCAGTGTGTGAATGTGTGTGTGTGAATGGGTGGATGACTGGATGTGTAAAGCGCTTTGGGGTCCTTAGGGACTAGTAAAGCGCTATATAAATACAGGCCATTTACCATTTACCATACCTGTCAGTTGGTCTGCTGGTTCATCTGAGTACTTTATCTTTAAGAAATTGCACATATTGATCACTAAGGGAGACATGCATCAAGCCCTCTTTACTTGCTATTGCTGGTCCTTATTTCCTCCTTATTTTCATAACTCCTATATATGACAATTTGTATCATGCTAGCGAATGGCTATGTTTAGCTACTGGTCTCTTATTTATTACATGGAATACGATCAGTCATTGATTGGCTTCTCCAAAACCTGGACCTTAGCATTACTTAACCAGTGTGGGATCATCTTGAAAGAGAACGAAACAAAAAGCAGCCAAAAATCCAAAGAAGCGCTTTGAATGTCCTTCAAGAAACCTGGAGAGCTATTCTTTACTTAAGAAAATGACAACAAAGCTTGCCTAAGAGAGTTCAGGCTGTACTGAAGACTAAAGGCAGTCATAAAAAATATTTGCTTTCAATCTTGTTAGAATTCTTCAAATTCTGTTTTTGCCGCATGCAGTGTATTTCCCAGTGTTTTTGAGAAAATCGTTGCACCAAATTTTTCTAATTTTCCTAGCAAAATATAAAGAAACGTAGGGTGTATCAAGACTTTTACCCAGCAGTGTTTCTATTACATATAAAGAATAAAAAACAAAGTCAAACACCTAATTTAAGTGTCTGTGTTTGTAAAGATATAAACTTCAGTGAATGAATGCACTCATGCGCTTTAATAGTGACTGTATTAATAGGGAAATGAAATGAGCTGGTTTGGGTGCAGCAGGAGGGGAGGGGTTGTTTGTGGGAGAAAACCTGTTCACCGGCAGGTTATGAGTCAAAGACAAACCAAGATAAACGGAGTGAACTTTAAGCATACTCCACGTGTTACACTTTATACCTTTGTACTGCTTAACAACTCTCGTATAGTTTTGGGGGTGAAAGGGTGTTTTAGGTGACACAACAGTGAGTAGTCGTGGGTGTGTGTCATCGCTGTGTGTTCTGTGGTTTTACCCAGCGGTCCCTCTTTTTTGTGTTAGTTTGACAGGAGGAGATGTGAGCCTTAGCAGCTCTCAGTACAGCCTTAATGCCATTAGCATGGTTGAGTGGGCAGACAAAGTGCTGAGGTGTGTTATGCAGGCTATGCATGATGAAAAGAACAAGACAGCGGGACGTCAGTGAAACAGATGAGGCAACATGGCTATTGGCAATGTCAAAGCATTACTTGTGTCATATTTTTCTGCATTTTCTATTACTTGAGACCCTTTTCCACAGTTATTTCCTTTTCTATACGTGTCCTTTTTCATATTCACCCTGCAGCCCATCTCTCTCGTTCTCTCAGTCGGGATGTGAGTGAAGCGTGTGTTTTCTGTACCTCTTTTATTTGAAGGTGTAATAAATAGCAAGTCGATTTATGACAAGAATTGACTCACTGAAGTTTTGTATTCTTTCTTTTTTCTA